TAATGGTGTATCTTTACTTAGCAAAGGCTACATGATTAAGGATGATTATTTACTTATGACTAATCTTCTTTATATTTTTTATTCATTATTTAGGGATTTCTTAATTTTAGAATTACATGTAAGTTGCGAGTGTTGAACATTTCGGTACAAGTCAAGTCAAGTCTAGAAATAGATATAGCAAGTATTTTCCTTTACAATGTAGAGCTTATCAGTCTGCTAATGATAGAAAAAATAACAAAAAAAATTGTATACATCTTAACCAATTCTATAGAAAGCATAGAAGGATGTTGGTATGAGTTTTACGATAGATTTGTCACAATTATTTAGAAAGCATAAATCTATTTTTTTTATTAATAGTTATTTTCAAAAAATGATGCATTTTATACTGTAATGAAAATGTTGATGCATCCAACACCAAAAAACCTATTATAATCAGGCGGTTAAATTACATTATTAAGTTAAATAATTCTCTGGATCCAAATTTAAAATTCATGAGTTTTTCAAGAAAATTGTTTGGAGAAAAATAGGAATACTGTTTAAAATTTCAATTGTTTATAACTCATAAAGAAATGGTCAAATTGAAGTGGTTAATAAAAGATCATGAAGTTTGCTACATTGTCTAATAAAAAAATACACCCATGTGAAATTTGATATGTGACATCACAAGGTAATAACCTAGAAAGCCTATATAACTTACCAATAAATTTCGACCTAATGCATGCAATCATTTGGAAAACATATGTATGATCGACTTCAATATATTCTCAAGAAATTGGAAACTAATAATGCAAATTACAAGCTTTCTATTGATGTAGAAAGGAACATGAAATTTAAGCGTGGTGATATAAAAATTGTAGATTCAAATCTAAAAAAGCTTCTATCATGAACCTTTAAGGAGTTGATTGCATAAGAAAGTTTTATAATTAACAATTTTGCAATGCATTGGAATTAATGCCCCAGGACTTGAAAATTTTAATAAATTACAGATAGATATAACTTTCAATGTATGTAATTTGACCTCAACTATTGAGCCTATTGTTAATTCCCTAGAATCCGCTCTCTTTTCACCTATTCCTTGTGATCAACATCCAATCCACTGTCAAATACACACATGCAAATTAATCCAGAAGCTATTTTAGATTATGAGGATTGTGTAAATTATTAAAAATAAATTTGAAGGATAATTTATTCGATAACAAGATATAAATGCTGTGTTGATACATAGATTACAAGATATACATGCTGTGATGATACATAGACTACTCTACATAAGACTTAGCATTTATGTCCAAATTTAGTAAATCGAATTCTAAATTCATTAAGGCTTTACTTTTTTCATTTTGAAAAAATTTGATGTAAATCTTTCAGTTTATTTTGGTAGGAAACATCGCATTAAATATTAATTTATGTACAATTATTTATTTACTATTTTACTAGTTGGTTTAATTTACTTTTTGTATTTGAGTACATTCTAGTGATGAGGGCGACTAAGAAAGGTCGCATTGACTGAGAAAGAATATATTTTATTTTCCAACTTTAAATTAGTCTACTTAGTTTTAAGGATGCTTCAATGATAACAAGATAGACATATGTGATGATTCATAGTTTAATCAACATATGACTAACATTTAGGTCCAAATTTATTAAATCAGACTCTAAATTCATCAAGGCTTATTTTTTACATTTTGAACAAATTTGATGCAAATTTTTATGTTTAATATGGTAGGAAGCATTGCATTAAGTATTAATTTATGTGCAATTATTTACTTTATTTTTTTTACTAGTTGGTTTTTTTTTTTTAAGCATTGTATTTGAGTACATGCTAGTGAAGAGGGCAGCTAAGAAAGATTGCATTGGCTGGGAAAGAATATACTTATTCCCCAACTTTAAATTAGTCTACATAGTTAGCACGATTTCAGCCATGATTTAAGTGGGGTTAATCCTTACAAAACAATGAGAAGTATCCTAAAATACTTAATATGTTTATCTATGCCCATGCGATAAAATTTTACATCATTCATTTAAAAATTAAAAATTCAAAAAGAAAAAAAAGAGAAAAAAAAGTTGATTTTGTGATGGTAAATAATTTGCTATTCTGTGGGACTTTTAGGTGCTTAGCTGTTGGTGGTGGATTTGTTGATGAAGCAAAAGGAGATATTTGTCCTTATCCATAATTGAATTTAAGCTGAATGGAATTAAATGAAGTAGGTGGTGCTACAAGTTAATGAATTTTTCAGCGTCCCATTTCATGCGAGTTTAGCTGAACTAGAGTATACAGCTTATAAGTGAAACTCAAATTTAATTGTTGTTTGGTTGACATGAAAATTTCAGATTATATTTCAGAAAATTTTTATCCCGTCCAAGGAACTTAGATTTAAATTAAGATTTCTCATTTACCAACCTCATCTGCTAAACTAGGTTATGAAAAATCAATAAATTAGTGCTTTAAAACATACAAGTGAAAATTTTTGTATTGAACAAAATTTTCTTTCTGATTTCAAACTTATGATCATAAGTTTGATCTAATCACTACGAATGCATTGCAAGTGCAATTACTTAATTTCAAAAAATTCATCACATTGTACCAGAATGAAACATGACTTCTGCTTAATAATTTTATTCATTGTTCTATTTTAACAATTAAATTTGTTTTTGGCTTATTTAGTGCTAATGATTTTGATGATAAAATGAAAAAAAAAAATTAAGTTGTGAAAATTAATTCAATTTGCCTGCTAATTTCATTTTTTCACTAATTAAATGCTAGAATTCTCTAATATTTTAGATCATTTCATTCACAATTAATCCAATATTCTAGTATTTATTATTTTTATAGTGGACGGAAGATGAAAATCTACATAACAAAACAAAAAGAACTGAAGAGGATGATAGGAAATAAAACCATACACCAGTTTTTTTTATTTTAACTTTCTCATAATAGTTTAATAGCAGTAATGGTACTGGCACAAAAGTAAAAACAAAGGAAGTGAAATAAAATATCGCACATAACAATAATCTCAATGAAACATAAAAACTAGAATTGATAGTTGTTCTTTGATTAGGTTCAAGGATCCTCTTGATTAGAATGATAAACCTTTTGTCATTATATGATAAAGTTTTTGCGTTGTCCCACACTGCAGCTCTTTCTGTATTATATTACTACTTAAATGCTTCCCACAGTACATCACTATTCTTGGTCAGATACTGCAATCATTATAGTCAGCAAGACTTTCTCTCTTTCATTGTTCTCTTTTTTTCTTCTTTTTGCAAAATAAATGCTTTTTATATATTTAAATTTCTTTAGTACTCTATTTGAGGGGGACCATCTTAGATGTATCCTCTTTGTGGCATCAACATCCACTTAGCTATTAATATTTCCTGAAATAATACAGTAATCATAATCTTTCCAAGAATTCTTTTCATCAAGTGAAGAATTCGAGTTTATTGCATTTTTAATCAGTCGCAAGCTTACTTTCTTCATTACAAACCTCCTCTCAAGCGAAATTTCATAAAGAAGTTCAAAAAAAAAAAATGGAGGATGAAAAAAATTGTGTGATAAGGAAAAGCAAAAAGGATAAGGAATGAAGACTTCCTAGGTTAAACATGATGCGGTAAAAGAAACAGAAACATACAAAACTTTAACAGTAATTTTCTCATAATGAGTTTTATAAAAGTAATTACAGTCGCACAAAAACAGGAAAAAATATAAATGAAGTAAAATGTCAACTATTGATAATTCCAATGAAATATCCAAAGCTGATAGATTTTTCATTAATTTCAATAATCCTCTTGTTTAGCATGCTAAACTGTTTTACATCATTTTATAGTGCGGTTTTTGAAGTGTACCACGCTGCTGCTCTTGCTGAAGTACAATGCGTGTTTATACATTTTTTCATCACTACTCACATTTAGGTGAGGGGAGGGAGACGGCAAGAGATGACAAGACCATTGTTTCCACAAGCAAAACGTAAAAATGAACCATATGATAGAAGATGAAAATTTTCGTACCAATGACAAACCAGATAATTTAAATTTCCTACAATTACACATAAAGCAACAAAAGAGATAAAGCCACCAGTTGTTAAAATATGACTTTCCACTACATTGGTATGTAGCAGCAAGCCAGCAATGGTATCCAAAAAATAGTATACTTAGCTCCTATGGCTACGCATGGATTATAATAAAGACTTTATCAAGAACTTCCAAAAAGCATTTCCAATCACAAATGAAAAATCTTATGCATTTTTTAGTTTTCATAATATTTGCCACTTAAGTCAGGGAAATGTACACAAAAACCAGTTTCTCGGGTTTAGAATCTAACAAAATAGATTCCCAGTAGCTAAATGAGTAAATAACGATAATTATATACTTACAACAGAACTGCCAGTTGAGAAAAGAGTCATGGCTGCACAACTTCACGAACTGGAAAAAAAGAAGGATCTAAAACTTGCATCCAGAGAAAAACCCAAACCATAAAATTCGGTAGAAATAAGGCCAAAGAAGACGATAGACTACCGGGACAACAAAATCGTATTCTGAAGGCTCCTAGAAGGTTAAAAATTAATAAATAGATAAATAAGAAGGGCATTAGATCAACTAAGTTTTCCCAAAAAGATTAAAAAGGAAAAGACAATGATTGAAGCGAACAAAGTTCCATTCAATAACCTTTAGGCAAAACATCAACCACTATAACGCTATGATCTTTGAAAAAACTAAACCTATTCTAAAAAAGAAAACCAGGCACTGCTAGAAAATCCGAATTCCCAAAACCCTTGCAAACAAATCGGAAATCTCGTAACTTCCGGTTCCGTATAATCCAAAAGGATCAGAGAGAACGCTTACCATAATGAATTCCCAAACAGAACTCACCAATCCCTCCAAAATGGCAAACAAAATGAATCGGGGGGAAAAAGAAACCAATATCATGCATTTGCAGGCCAAAATAAGAACTTAACAGAGCGATCCCATTCACACTCACAGAAAAAGGTTACAGAAACTCTCACCACTATCGCCAATCAGAAGGAGCTTTATGAGATAATCGTAATCCGCGCGAGCCCTAGCAGTTGGAGCAGCCATGGAAGAATTGCAAGAAAAGTGGGAGGACGACAGCTCCAGTCAACGCGAAGAACAGTGTTTCCCTCGGTAAAACCTCAGATCCCGTCTGCATGAGCAGCGCAGTTACAAGGTCAAAAATTAAGACAGCTTGAGGTGAATCAAAAATTTCCGGAACGAGAATCGAAGATTGCGAAGACAAAACCAGATTGCGCGCGATGAAGAAGAGAAGGGGTCAGTCGACGTGGGTCGGCCGTTGAAAAGCTTCGGGGGTAGAGAGAGAGAACAGCCTACGAAGTTCTCGGTTATATAACGGAATGGTCCAAATAAGCGAAGAGTAGTCCCAGCGTGCAGTGCCCCTCGGTCTTGCCCATCTCTCCTGCCTCACAGCCTGCAGCTTTTGATTGATCTGATTTTGAGGGAAAAAATTTGCTTACTTGAGACTTCACATAATGGAGATTATATGGATATTATATCGATTTTATATTCGCGTTATATTTCTTATAATCTCTGTATAATTCTCATGTAACCTACATATAAACTACAGATATGTGAAAACAGAAACGTGAAACTTATTTGTAAGTTCAGGTAGGTTATATAGAGGTTACATGGAGGTTACAAGGGATATAACGCGAATATAATGAAGATATAACGCTTATATAATATCCATTATGTACGCAGTGTTGCATACGTCTCATGTACCAAATTTTTTCCGATTTTGAGATAGCAGGCTTCAAATTTAACACAGTGATTCATTATGTTCACGAGGTTTTTACATACATATAACATGAAGTTTCTGAATTTACATATATCACATTCAAACTTTTAATATAATGAAATTCGAACTTTAGTGAGCATTTTCGTCACTTTCTAATGACTCTCCCTCCCGGTGGCGAAATCTCTCGAAAGCGACCTGTTCTTTACTCTGTCGTTCGGCCAACTGACATCAAGTTCCGAACCCGAAAAATAAAAAATTGTTATAAGAATTTGTACATCGAAAATATGTCGACACGAATCGCAGAGACATCTCGTGGATGGCAGAGGAAGGGATGTGGCTCTGCTGAATCTACTTAGGACGACTCAAGGCAGCGCACTCAGTCAGTCAGTCCGACATGTCAGGAAGGCAGAGCATCTCAGACGGATGAGGGGTAAATCAAGGAAGTGAAACATATCATTCAGCTCTAAGGCATTTGATGTGGACCTCCACAAACAACCACTCGACTTAACGATCTCTTGGCTTCATTGCCTCTCGGTCACACCAATGGGTCCCATGGTTAATATTCATTTACGGAACAAGAACACCCCCTTCATTCCTATGTACTTCAGTGGTACAGTGACCAGAGAAAAATATGTTGAGATTTTCATACATATTTTATATTGTTTTTAATGATATTGTACTTTAAAGAAATGTTATTTTGATGTTTTGTTACAAGAATGATGAAATAGATTCATTGGAGCAAAAAGATGCAAAAAGGAGTGAATTTGGAGCGAAAAGGGACAAAATGAGAATTGAACTAGGGTGCCAACGGCGCCATCGACCTCGCTGACGGCGAGATTTTCCCGAGACTTCAGAATTAATTCATTAAGAAGCTTTGGATGAGGACATATTTTGAAGGAATGCTTAGGCAACTCTTGGGAAAGCTCATCCACATCCTTAAAGAGAAGACTTTGGCCGAAAAGAGAAGGGGGGAGGCTCCCAATTGGAGGGGGAAAAAGGGGAGGGAATCTAAA